ACAGCAAACTTCCCTTTGCTCCTTGTTGAAATTCCATCGCTTCTTTTGGTCCACTTGAGCTGCCAGGCACAGGCTGTTGCCAAGTGGAGGAAGGTGTAACAATGAGTGTAGTGAGCCAGGAAAATACTCCTGAAAATTGCTTGGGGCAGCAGGATGGAAACTTTAGGTCAGCAGAGAAAGGGCCCACCTCCCTTTCCCTTAAGCAAGTCCATATGGACAGCCGGGCGAAGGAAACGTCCCCCTGGCTAACAGTGGAACTCCCCTTATGCCGATGCAGAGGGAAGAGCATTCTTCTTCGGTTCACCTTGCTGATTTTAGGCATCAAATAATGGCATGATGGGGGACCCCGTTACATGGCTATTTATATGATCTTGGTTGTGAAGCGCATAGCTCTAACTTTCACCTGCAAACAGCCTTTCCGCACTTTACCGCTTCACCATGTCCCTGATATGCACATGGTGGGCATGTCGTGAGCGGAGCCGGCTGGTGCCGGAGGTCAGACTAGATGGCCCGGGAGGCCCCTTCTGACTCGCTCTGTTTCTGTGTTTCTATGATATACGAAATGTTCACTGTATCTGCATCCTGCCTTTTTCCTGCTTACATAATCCTCCTGCTGCTCTCCATTTTATCCGCACGACAGCCCTGTGAGGTTGACTGGGCTGAGAGTCAGTGACTGGCCAAAGCCACCGAGTGAGCCTCATGGCTGTGTGAGGGATGAGTACCCAGGTCTCCCAAGTCCCGGTTCAGGCTCTGACCACTACGCCACACTGGCTCTGTCCAAACCATAAAAACGGTTGGCTCCATGGCCAAGCAGGGACTAGAACTCAGTTCTCCTGAGCCCCAGCCCTGAGCTCCCAACCACTGCACCACACTGTCTCTCATGACTGACTTCCTTGCGACCTTCCCTATGCAATACTTACTCTCCACTGTTGCAAGGCATACGTGTTTCCTTGTTCAAAATGCCAGTTACCTCAGCCAAAGCTCTTGCTCCTGTTTTTTAAGAAGATTATATTTGCACAGAAATCAGAAAGTCTTTGCTATACGGAGATTTTCTGGCCAGCTTTCCCGAGTCTCCCCTCATGCTTCCTCTGCCAGCTGGGAATATCTCCTCCAGATATTTTCTGTGTATATGCAGTGCTCCCACCGGATGCAGGGTGATGCATCCCAGTGGAGGCCTCCCTCGGAAAAGGGCTGAGGGGTGGAATGCCCATTCTGCATGCAGCTCCTTTGCATCTCCACGCAGGGCGGCAAAGTCCACTGCCTGAAATGCGTGCCGAGCTGCTGGGGGGACCGGAGCCCGGCCAGCGACCTGCTCAGCACCATCACAGCGTGGCCACTCGGGGCTGTGTTTGTCTGAGGATCGCCGCCTCCCCCGGAGCCACGCTGCTCTGGCCTGGATGATACGAAAAGCCGTCCCAGCACAAGCAACCAAGCAAATCCAGCTGCCACACATGGCAGGGTTACCGAGCTCCCCCCCCCTCCGCTTATTCCCTGCACTGCAGTCGTGCAAACCCACCCAGTGCAAGTCACTCGCCTCTTTTCCAGAAAAGCTGCCGTCTTCTGTTACTTGAGCTCCCCTTTTCTCCCTGCACATATAATTCTTCGCTCCCTCAGGCCATTCTGACAGGTGCTGCCCCATCTTGGGCATACCCCCCCCCCCGCCACTATCTCACACACAAAAAGGTCATTCTAATGTGCTCCGTGTTTTCCTTCCAGCTGGTGTCTCCATGGAAACGTCATCATCACTTGCAGGGCTCCATCTCTGCGCTTGGTTTATGTTTTCATGCGTTTTCCTGTTTTTCTTGAAAGGCTGTGATAGTCAGCCCTGCTCTGAGTGCTGCAAAAATTCAGCCAGGGCCTCCTGCGGCTGCCCCACTGCCGCTTTTGCTGTACGGTTATCAGAACAAAGCCTTTAAGACCTGACTTCCTGCCCTCTTGCCCTAGCCAAGCTGACCCAAATCTCCCCTGAAGCTTAGGGAGGGAATCCAGGATCCCGACTAGCAGCTCAGCCAGTCTTAAGACATGCGTCTCTCCTCTCCAGAGGTTACAGAAAAGGTTCAGGAGTGCATCCAGCGCTCTCGCAAGGGGGGCATATACTGTACAGGGAATTACTGGCATCCTGCTGGGTTTCCTTCAGTCCTCTGCAACAGTAAAAAGGGGTTGGTGCCAGCCTTGCGGAGTTCATGGCAGATTTGCAGTTGCTGACAGGAAGGAAATGGTTGCATTTGGACCGCGGTGCTGGAGGAGAGCTTTACGAAGACTCTGGCCCAGCTGAAAGACAAGCAAGCGAGTCCTTGATCAAGGCAAGCCAGAACTTGCCCTGGAAGCAGGAAATTACGAAACGGAGGCGGCCATATTTCACGTGCATCATGAGAAGGCAGTGCTCATTGGAAAAGATGAGGGTGCTGGGGAAAGGAGAAGGCAGAAGAAGATGGGGAAGACCGACTATGAGTTGGATCCATTTTGTAAAGGAAGCCACTGCCTTGAATTTGCAAGAGCTGTTATGAATTGGGCACTTTGAAGAGCTTTATTCATAGGGTCACCCCAAGTCAGAGGATAGCGCGTAACAGTGAGAGTGTCTTTACCCAGGGACTCTGCCTCTTCTGCGTCCCGAGAGTCCTGTTTGTTGTTGCTACATGAGTCATCTCTGACTTAGAGCACCCATTTATGGGCGCTCCAAAATGTCCTGCCCTCGGCAGCCCTTCTCAGCAGTCGTAAACTCAAGCGGCAGCTTCCATTATGGAGTCGATCCATCTTGTATTTTTTCTTATTCTTCTGCTGCCTTCAACTTTGCCTGGCATAATTGTCTTCTCCAGTGAATTGTGCTTTTTCATGATGTTCCCAAAGTACAACAATCTCAATTTTGTCATTTTTGCTTCCTGTTTAGCGCCAGGAAAATCCTCTGCTTTAAAGCTGCCTACTCCCCACAGCAACAGCAGGAAATGCAGGATTTCTAGTTACCTGTTTGCTTCCTAAAATCACTGGCTTCCGTGCCTTTTCCCAGAAGGCTTTGTAGCATATAAAGCAGGGTCTGGCAACATGAGTAGAGCTGGAGTGGTTTGGGACCGTGGAGGGAGAGGCTAGGCTTGCTCAGCAGAGGTTGCTTGCCCCGATAGTAGTGCTTCCTCTGCATCTCCAGCCTCAAAATTCGGGGCACGTTGCTAGTGAAGAAAGCACTGTACTTTATGACGTATGGGGCCCACAGCTCAGAATCGGAGCCTAGAGCAGTGGCCATATAGGGGAGATTCCCAACAGCTGCAGTCAAAAGAATTCTGGGTAACGGGATTGAGAAAGGGCTCTTTGTCTTGGAGAGCTGCTGCCAGTCAGAGTAGACAGTGCCAGGCTGCATGGACCAGTGGCCCTGACTCCAAATAGTTCTGTATTCATGTGGCTTGTCCAGTCTGCAGTGACTCTTTACCCTAAGAGGTGGTACCTTTCATCAGTCGCCTGAATCGATTTTCTTCCAACTCAAGTTGGAGAGCCTGGAAATACCTTCCTCTCCTGAGTCTCCCTCTGTCGGCCAGAGCCTGGGCTACCCAAGCACTGTCAGGAAGCTGGGAAGGTGGCTTCTTTGCCACGGCAGGAGCGATGGAGCCAAGTCAGGCTGATGTGGGTCCGGGCACAGCTTGTGGATGTGCCAGCCACGGAATGCAGCTGCTACGGAGCGGCTGCTGCCTCCCCTCTCTGGTTAGCGCTGATTTCAGCTTCCTGCTCCATCTCCATTTCTGCTCGGGAAGGTAGTAATTATGGCCATGCAGACTTCGGAGATGTAATGCCCCTCTAATAGCACCACTGTGGAAGCCTGCACTCCCCTGAAACCAAGTCGATCTGTAAATTAACTCACTGCGAACATTTTTGTTGATTGCCAGGTCGTGCTTAATCTTACCAGCACCCACAGTCAATGCTAATTAATGTAATTATGCCAGGAAAGTCTCCTGAAGCTCATGGACTGTTAGGTTAGGACTCAGTTCTCTCTTCCCAGTTCAAAACTGACTGGAAAGGTCTACAAGAGTCTTGTAGGTCAGATTCTTGCTCCTCCTTATACTTCTTAGGGCCAGTAGAAAGAAATATTTCAGTGTATTCTGCCACATTTATGGACGTGGGACCTCTCGTCTGGGCAAGTGTGTGCATGCTTCCGATTCAGATATAGCTCAGGTTATCTTCTGTGCGTTACAGAGGGACAAGGCAGTGCAGGTGGGGAAAATGGACCCAGGACTGACAATGCCCTTAAGGCCTTAATGTTCTCAGCTGCACAGGTGCAGAATCTCAGCTTTGGGGGCAGATCCATTCCCACTGGCGTTCCCAGATGGCCAGAACCCCTTTTTCCCCAACCACACCTCCTGTCCCCAAAACACCACTAATGCGTGTTGTATTCCCTGCTTATGTGCAGTTTTTTCCTATTCTCAAAGGTTGAAATGCTTCTCCTAAGGTAAGCAGGAAGAACACTAATTTCCAAAATGCTGGCAATTCTGGGCCCTGCCATTTTGTCTTCACCGCCCCCCCCCCAAAAAAAGGGCCAGGGTGGTGTAATGGATAAGAGCGCAGGGCTGGGACTCAGGCGATCCGGGTTCTAGTCACCGCTCGGCCATGGAGTCAGCTGAGTGCCTTTGGGCCAATCCAAACTCTCAGCCCAACCTCCCTCGCAGAGTTGTTGTGGTGGTGATTAGAGGAGGAGGAGGAGACTGTTGTAAGCTGGTCTGAGTTCATTCTAAGAAAAAAGGTGGGGTGTAAATCTAATAAATAAATGTGGCCCCCAGAAGGGCTCTGAACTGAAGTGCAGCCCCGGGATGAAAACGCTTCTGCACGCCTGTCGTACTGGCGCCTCGCTTGTGTCCCGCCCTGCTCTTTCCAGGCCTTCTTTCGCTCCAGTTCCTCTACAAACTAAATTCCCAGTGAAGTCCCTGATGGAAGGCTGTTGGATGGGCTGACTTTGGGGTCTGCACGGGCCATGGGTGTGGGAACCGGAGGGCACTGACCCACTTCCTCTGCTGCCTTTTCAGGGGGATCTTCTTAGACACCATCCTACCCAAATACAATGTGAACGGCATGCAGCCCTCCATCGGCCAGCGCACCCGGCTGAGCAAGGGCGACATCGCCCAGGCCCGCAAGCTCTACAAATGCCCCGGTAAGTGTGGCTGGCTGCACTCCCACGAGGAGGAGGCCCGGCCCTCGTGTCTGGCGCTGTTGGGGCGTGCCTGGGTTAGCCTGCTAAGGGAGAGGCAGAGAGTAAGCGAGGTGCGTTGCTGATCCGGAGAAGCAGCTCCAGGGGGCTTTTGCCGGGGGGACCTGCTTCGTGTGCCGGCCTTGCTACCGGCCCTGCCTGGATTGCACCAGGCTGGGAAGAGTGGGATAGGGCCGCTCTGAGTCTTTGCACCGCTCTCCTCATGCTTAAAGAAAAAGCCCACCGTTACTGCAGACAATCCAAACCATTTTCCGCGGGAAAAACTACTGTGTTGAGACCATCTTGTTCTCCCAGTTTTCCAGCTGCAGAACGATACGGCTGGGGGAAACGTGTGTCTTTCCCAGTTAGTGCGGCTGCTGCAGACAGGGCCCCGTGGCAAACTGGGTGCCGTGCCTGCAGTGTCATTTCTGATGAGCAAAGACGACACCCTGAGATGTCTGATCCCAGCTGGAATCACGGTGCCAGTTGTAAATATGGGATTCAGGGCACAAACCGGTGGATGTCTGGACAGAAAAAGGTTTGGGAGTGTGACCAGCTGGGGCATACTGGAAGTTTTAGGCCCTTTTCCAGCCTCAACATCCATAGGATTACACCTTTTAGGAGTGAACCTATGACCCCTAGAGAGTGACTCAGAAGCCATAGGGTTTTTTTTTATGTCTCCCAGATTTGAGTTTAGAAATGCCACTTTGATCTCAGAATTGGGAATGGGCACTACTTCTCTCTACCAGCGTGGGGAAAACCGCACCAGCTGCTTCCACTCCACCCTGGGTGCGCAGAAACCTCCACGTTCAGTGGTTTCTTGGCATCCCAACAGAATTATGCCCTCACTTGCACTGGAGGACAAACTAGGTTAATCTCAAGGCAAGGGGTAAAGAACCCTCATGCGCACACATGCAAGCGCTCATTCTCCATTCGATCACTATGAATGCTGATTTTCCCATGCTGATTTCACAATATAAAGTACATCTGGTGGTCAGAGCTGATCTTGTCCCTCCAAGACCACTGATTTGACTTTCCCTGGTTTCTGCTTTCCCCTAGTTTGGCTGTCACTGATATTCCTCAGGCAACTTCCTGCCCAAAGGATATGTTCAGACCTTTCTCCTCTTTCCCCAGCTGATTTTAACCGGGATTATGTCCCCTGGAACATAACCATCCAATCGGGCATTAAAGTTGCATTCCCCAACAAAACACAAGAAGTTAGAAGCATTCCTGCCACCCCTCTCAAGTTCAATTTCTCAAAACTCTGTGTTTTTTAAAATCTTTACAAGGTATCCCGTTCATGCCTGACATCTCTATTTCCCCTCCCAATGGGAGAATACAGAACTTTGGTATGATTGGCGATTCTTGTATTTCCAAGCATAATCGCATTTACCTAATAGTCAACTTTTATCCCCTATCTATTCTGATTCATTTTTAAGGCTTCTGGACAGATTCCCTTTCCCTAAATGTTTCCAATGACTCTTGTCTGTCGAGTCTCAGCACTACCAACCCCTCTCCTTTATTTTGTCACAAAAGCCCGCAGTGAAGCAACCTCCCAGGGAAATTACCGTGGAAGACGATTCATCGCCTCCCTTCTCCTGACATCAGCGTGTTGCGGCTGGGCTGAGCTGAGCCTGGAATGTTCCGGCCCTTCCGTTGCATGTTTCAGTCCCCACGGGGGCCGACCTCATGCTCGGTCTGCGCTCTTCCCGTTGCTTTATGAATGGAAACAGCGTGACATAACACAGGGGTTTGGAGCCTGGGGCTGGAGGGCTCCCATCCTCACCAAGGCTTTGGAGACCGGCCAGTCTCACCAGTCCTGGCTCAGGAAGCCTAACAGATGTTAGAACAGAAGGCGAGGGTCCAGCAGCCAAAGACAAGCAGGGGGAGTGTGTGAAACTCTGGCTCCTGTTAGACTCCCAAGACCTGATCTGGCTTGGAGCTCTCCAGCATCCTTCCCCTGCTGGGTGTCTGTTTCCGTGGAGAGGACAAAGGCGTGTAAACAGAGCAGGGCTGTTTTTCTAGTGAGGAATGCAGCTCCGGCAGGAGCTTTTCGGATCGGGCAGCGTCTGACCTCGCCTGAAGGGCAGTGAGGGTGAGAAAGCGGGACGGACGCTGGCTGGGAAATGGGTGGCGGGGCACAGCGGCCACACGGGGCAGGAAAAGCTCCCGGAGGTCTTGGGGAGCCGCTGCTGGCCCATGCTGGGCAAACTGGACTGGGTGGACCTGCTATGTTCCTGTGTGTGCAGTGCGGTGTGAGTTTGGAGCTTGGGTGCTGGCCGGAGCGACCTCCAGAGGCTCCCGACGGGACCCTCCTGCCTATGTTTCCCCACGCTCTCGTTCCCCGCGGTTTCCCACCACCTTGCTTGTTGTCTGTGGGATGCTCCAGCTGTAATACAGCCCTCGAGACTTCCTGGTCGTACAAGTGGGGAAGGGGCCATGCCCTTACGCAGCTGCCCAGCTCCACCTCTGGCCCAGTGCCAGCAGAACATAACCGTGGAGTCGCACGCTCCGTTACAGCTGCTCAACCAGCGTCCACCCCCACACACTTGTGCACACGCACGCTAGCAGAGGATGTTCAGAGGAGCGCTTCTGAGCGACGAGCGCTTCCTCTGTTGATGCTTCCAGAGTGACATGTGAAGGGGCACTGGCTGCACAGACGTCTGGAAGAGCGGGCTGAGACCCAGTTCCTGGAGCAGGGAGCCAGGCCTCCCAGGCGCTGGAGGGACGGGGAATCCTAGCCGCTGCAGCTGTCTGGCGTGCGCCCAGCCCCTTCGTACCTGACAGGAAAACGCCGTGGCCCCAGTCCCAATTTCACTTGTGCGCAATGCACGCGCGCACGGCTCCAGAGCTTCCCCCTGTGGCAGCTTCTTCCACAGCTTCCTCACGGAGGCTTTTTCCGGCCTCTGCCATCCCGCTGCTTTGAGTCACCGGGCCGGCCAGTCCCGTTGGTTTCTGGGGCCGCCACTTGCGTATGTATGACGGGGAGCTTTTACGGGGAGAAAATGCATCTGTGGGGCAAGTAATCCTGGGCCTTGAAAAGCTACCAGCGGAAAGCAGGGTGCAGAACTCGGGCTGCAGTTTGGCCCCCCATTCCTGGCCACTGGTTACATTGCAGTTTCTCGGGTTTGGTGCGTGCACACACACTCACAAACACCCCACACTCTAAAAATCCATAATGCCTCCTGGGACTTAGCCCCTGAACATAAGTGCATGAAGATCAAATATCCTGCTATATTACTTATTTATTTAGGCATTTATATAACATGCCTTAGCACAGCGCTTTCAGATTTCAGAATATCAGTATTCAGTTCTAAAACAAGCACACCTGTCATAAAACCTCTATACACGTACAATAACCCACAATAAGCAAAGCAATACATAATCGACAATGATTTAAGCAACTTTTCTACATGTACCAGTAACAGTCTTAAAAGCCAACACAAACCCAGAAAATACCTATATGTCACCTCTGAAGGGATCTGTTGGCGACATACAGGTATGTGAGGAGGTGTCACACGGAGGTGGGTAGAGGCCTGTTCTTCCCTGCAGAGGAAGGCAGGACGTGCTCCAATGGAGCAAAGCTCAGGTTCCATTTAGATGCCAGGAAGCATTTCCTGACAGTTAGGATCCTGAGGGTGTGGAATGGGCTTCCACAGGAGGTGGTTGAGGCCCCATTGGTGAGGGTGTTCAGGGATAGACTGGACATGCACATGGTGGGCATGTCACAATCGGAGCTCACTGGAGCCGGGGGTCAGACTAGATGGCCCAGGAGACCCCTTCTGACTCACTCTGTTTCTGTGTTTCTAATTTAGCAATTAAAATGGTGAGAGAATAAAAAGGTTTGAACATGGCACTGGAATGTATAAAGAGTTAGTGCCCAGCTCATCTCCCTGGAGAGTTGGTTCCACCCTTAGGGTGCCACAGCTGAGAAGGCCCTTCACCTCGGAGCCACCCTTTTTGGTCCCTTTAAAGGTGGCTTGCAGAGAAGGACCTGCATAGATGATGTAAGGGTCCAGCTTGGTATATCTGAGAGGTGATGCTCCTTTAGATATCCAGGATATTTCTCGGATATATCCTGCGCCATGTAGCCCTGGAACGTGGGTCTCAAAGCCTCTCCGAAGCCTGCCATCCTCAGAGGCTACACTGGTGTCTGCAGAACAAGTGAGTTCGAACACAGATCCTGTGCGGCTCTTCCCAAGTGACATCACATGTTCCAAAGAGCTGCGAGCAAGCGGCACGCTTGGTGCGGAGAAGAAATCCGCAGCTCCTGAATGTTTTGCCACAGCCGTTTCTGAAGGGCAGCTCCGTCTTGGCCTCTGTGGGTTTACAGCTTGGTTGCCATGCCAAGAGAAGACTGTGCCATTTCAATTGACCTCTGAGCGGTGCGTGGGTAATTTGCTAGGGATGAGCAAGGCATGAAGGAGGACTGAAGCTGCCAGGCATGCCCAGAGTGCGGGACTGCTTTAAAACGTGGGAGGAATCCGATTTGCTTGACCTGGTCAACTGGAGGGACCTTCCTAGTTCTCATGAAGGAAGCATTTGGTGTTCATGCTTCACAGGCCCAGCACATCATTCAGTGCCAGCAGCTCTTGAAAACCAAGGAAGCCCCCAAACCAATCCACAATAAAGGATCGAATCAGCCCATCTCTACCAACAATAAATGTCATTAGGCATGATTCCATCTAATTTTAAGAGCAGCTGTTCCAAATCAAACCATGGTGCATAGCTTATTTGTTCTGATCAGTCAAAAAGTATGTACATCTTCTCTGAAGCTGACATCTCAGGACGAGACGAAACCAGAATTAAAAAAATATGGCTGGACAGAACAGGATAAAAGAACTATAAAAAACTTTTATAAGTATAATGTGTAGAAAATAATTTAGGGGGAATATAATGTATTATAGAATTATAAAATATAATTTATAATATTCTATAACGCACATATAATTTATAATAAACAGATTGTAAAATATAAAATAAAATTAAAAAGTTATTATTGAAAATACAACAGGATAAATCTAGGTACCCTGTCAAATGAGTATGGCAGGTAATGGCAGTGGTACACCATGAATAGCTGGTAAGGTACGTACTTGGACATGGAGTTCAAGAGTATGAGGCACAGAAGGGTTAAAGCTTGACCTTTTAAGGAGTCACCAGATGCACGGAAATTGCTGCTCAGGAGGGATCCTTTGGCCCTTGCGGAGAGTGTGTGGGCAGCCTCTGACAAGATACAGAGGAGGACTTGAGTGTCCCATGAGTGATCTCACCACGCTTCCCAGGGATGCTTGTCATTCCTACGGGAAACGCTCCTTCTCCTGGATGTCATGAGATGCTGAGGCAGAATCCAGGGAGGCGTGAGTCAGTGGCATGTCATCCTGGTTTCCTGCCCAAAGCCACCCTGGGAAATCCCCCGAAAGTCCTCCAGCAACCTGGGCACTGTAGCCCTGAGGTTGCAGGAACAGTCACCATTGCAAGCCCAGAGGTCATACCCAAAGCATGAAACAACTTGGAACACGACTTTCTGAGAAATTGCTGTCTCTTGCTGCTTGCTTGCATAACACTTTCTTAGTTAAGAATTAATTTTCAGACAAACTCTTCTTTTGGACATCACTTCCCCTCAAAACCGTCATAATTAGTCCAACACATTTTGCAAAGGCACTTGGATCCAATTAGAATGATTCGGAGAAACCAGAGGGTTTCTTATTGGGAGAAAAGCCTTTTTAAACACTATTCCTAAGAAAAGGAGATCATTTTTTTAATTTAAAGGGTGATCATCCTGAAGGTATAATGAGGCCAGAGACAATTTTTTTCTTCATTTCTTCTGCAGATCATATTCTCTGTTTCATAACAAAGCTAACTACATCAATCAAACTCTTGCTCCCCTTAGCTATTGTGTGCCTGGCAGTAGCTTTCCAGAGTTTCAGGGAAAGATCTGTCCCCTCTAGCCAAAGATGCTAGAAATCTAATTCTGCCTCTGGCATAATCTGTCCAAATGAAATGAATAATAAATAAGCAAGATTGCTTAATGCGCTGTGCAGCTTTAATAATGTCTATTGATGCAAAAGTCCCATTTAGTGAAATTAATCTTATTCCCAGGAACGTGGTGTATTTTGCAACCTTTCAGGGTTTCTGGTGTATTTTGCAACCTTTCAGCAGTTTGCAGCCTTTCAGGGTTTCTGAGTACATTTGGCAATTTGATCTACTTGTCCTGGGCACTAGCGCAGAATGGCTGCCTTGGAAGGCATGGCTACCCACCATATGATTATATTGCATTTCTGCCCCCTTTCTTCCTCTTGCAAGGAATCCAGGTTGGCTTCTAGAGGTCTCCAGGTCTCCCTCCCAACCTCACAACAACCCTACGAGGTGGGACAGGCTGGTGTCAGTTCCTGGCCCAGAGGCACCCCGTGAGCTGCTTGGCCAAAAAGGAGACTAGACCCCAGATCTGCCGAGCCTTCCTTCAGCACTAACCGGCATGCCCTGCCAGTGAAGAACTAGAGAACTAACCTGCCCAAAGACTGAGTGCAAGGCAGAGAGGGAGGCCGGACCCGTGTGCGCTCAGCTGCTCCTTCGAACAACCATTTCCACTGCCAGTAGAAAGTTATTCTGCAAAAGACGGGCTGTTTTTGTCTCTCCTTTTTTCAGCCAGGCATCTCCTCTCCCTGGCTTTTTCCGTTCTCACTCACAAATACCCACTCTCAGTATCTCACACACTTGTGCAAACGCTCCTGGGTACCCATCATGGATGCGTGGACTCTGCAAGGATATGAACAACCGTACACCCCGCCTTTTGTGGTCCTGCGGCGATCCCCCTCCTTGATCATCTCCAGACCTTTTCCTTCTCTGCCTCTTTCTCCATCCTCAGTCCCTGCTCCAACTGGCTTCCCACCGACCACCAGCTGCTTGGCTCCCTCGGCCCTTCCTACTGCTGCTGTCCCCAGTTCATCCCAAAACAGCAATAGGATCCCTATTGGCTTGATGGCTGGGCGCATGCACTGATGTGCCATCTCCATGGCCTAAGAACCCCTTTCTACCCCACGTGTGGCCTGGCCCAGAGGCAGTTCATGAGAAATGAAGACGGCAGCCACTTTGAAGCAGTCCCACCTGCCCATAAGACCAGTTTTAAAAGTTTAGCAAAAACTGAAATGAGGCCGGATGGGGCACTTCTATGGGCCCCCAGGAAAATGCACACGGGCACAGTGGTGCTCATCAGCCCTCTGCTTCCAGCCCCCTTCAAAGATGCATGTTTTATTTACAAAAATATTGAGAACTTTCAGGTACCAGGTTCTTCTCCTGCAGATCAGGTGTTCAGTGCTGAGAAAGGCAAGGAAAAGCTGTTGCCTGGCCTTGCCCAGTCGTTTTTCACACACCTGCTCTTTCTCTCGCTCGTATTGCTCCACTCCCAGCTTCCAGCCTTACTTCTCTCTTCTCAGTCCTTTCCCTTGCCCATTCTTGGCCACCTTCCTTCTCTCCCGACACAGCCCCGGCTTTGCCCTTTCTCTCCCATTCACCCCTTAATCTTGTTAGTCCTCTCCGTTTCCAACCTCTAGTCTTGCCATCGCTTCCTCCTACACACACACCCCTTTCTTCCCCATCTAGTCCTGCTCCTTCCCTCCCCTCTTCCCATAAGATTCCTCCCAAAAGGTCCAGAAGGGCTCAGTGTATCGGATCGCAGCCTCTGGCTTCTCAAGGGCAGGGGGGCATGCGTTGTTTAGCGGCCCTGCCGTTGCTTTGCTGCTCTTGGGTGTTTTACGAGGATTTTGGATTGTATTGGGCTGGTATTGTGAGCTCGCTTCTTCTTGTGAGCCCTTTGGTGTCTGATTCACAGAAAGACAGGAGAGAAGTGCTCTGAAAACGGAAATAACTTCCGTGTGGCATAGAAATCTTAGAGAGTTTCCTTGATGGCACCAGGGTCTTCGTAAAGCTGCTTAAAGAATGGGCGAGGGGGAATCGGCTTGTGTTGCACATACTTGCATGTAGCTTTCTAGCTGATCCCTGCAGTTGCGATTCCTCTTTCAGGGTGCTAACCTTGCTGTCAAGAAAAGTGGCATTTTTTCTCTCCCTTGTGTCCGAACCACAGAGCTGGAAGGTGAGAGAGATTTTGGTGCACGGACCATCAGTTTGTCTTCTTGGAAAGGGTCCAGGAGCGCCAGCACCTCTTCAGCCGGGCTTCATCTAGTCGGCTCGAGTGGCCTCCAGATGGTGGGGCTGGACCCGCTCCAGATGGTGCGGAGCTGAAAAGCTTGTCCGGGTCCCAGCTGGCGAGCCGGCTGGCTGGAGGCAGGGCAACGTGGCAATGCAGGGAGGTGACCCCCGTGCCTGAATTTTAGCGGAGGGTGTGGGGCGGAGGGTGGGCGGCTGGTTGTGGCCACTGGCAGGGTTTTCTGGCCGCCGGATGCAAGCTGGCTGGCTCTGGCAGGCTGGCATGGCTGGGAAGCGGGCCGGGGGGGCGGCAGCATTTTTCCTAAGAGGATTGTGGATCCCCTGGTGCTTTGCTGCAAAGGGAGGGAAGGGCAGCGGCAGGAGGGGAACACGAAAACTCTTGTCAAGGGTTAGCTTGCCTGCGCCGAAGCCCTGACTTCCATCACTGTGGCAACATGGCATCAGGTTAGGTTTCCATAGCTACTTTCACAGCTGCAGAACAAGCCGCCGCTGCGTTAAGGAAAGGAGGGGGGTCTTTATCTTGAATGAGCTGATTTCAGGAGCAAAACGGGCAGAGCAACACATGGCAATTTCCTGGGGGATGCGATTGCTTTGGAGAAGCAGCAATGCTGCTCTGCGGACCTCCGTGTACAGGTGTCCGCAATATGACTGGGCATAAAATCACCATTGTCGTGAGCTTGGCCACACAGCCTGCCTGCTTTCTTTTCTTTAATGCATGTTTCTAGTCCCTAGGGCTGCCGATGTGGACTTGAAACTGAAAATATGCCTCATTCAACAGGAGAAGTTTCAAAAGCTCAGCTGGGTGTTGACAAACAGGATTTATTTATTTATTTCCATTTCTGTGCCACCCCATAAACCAAGGATTCTCTGGTTGGCTTCCAGTGCAAAAACAGCATAAAAATGTGCATAATTTAGAATAAAACAGTTATTAATCAGTTAAAATGGTGAAACATTGAATAAAATGTAGCCACACACTCCAGTAAACACAACCAATAAATTACCCAAAATTAAATTAAGATAAAAATCCATAACAAAATAGAAAAGTATTAAATTAAATTAAATTAAATTAAATCAACCAAAAACTTCTTTAAGTAAAAACGTTTTCAGCTGGCACCATTGTTGGCCTTCAGCACCAGTAATATGTAGTTCCCTGATCTTCCTCATAACTTGGAAAAGAAGTTCCACAAAAGAAATGTTTGCTTAATTTCCATCCTGCTGCATTTTGAAGTTACTGTTTTTTGGGTTTGCTCACATTGTGGGATTTTGATTCGGAGACGTGGAAGCTGCATGACTCCAACTGGAGGGGCATTCTCTCTCTCGCAGCCCTGTCTTTAGTGGGTTTGGAACAGTACGCAAGGGGCATGTCCCGGGGCAGGCAGAGATCTTTGCCCGCCTGCCACCATCTGGGTACAAGTGATCCGGCTGCCCAAGGTCGGGCTGCTGTACTGGTCGTCCCGGACTGCAGAGACAGCTTGCCTGGTACCTGGAATTCCAGCCACCTGGCTGCACCGAGCGTGTGCTTTGCCAGGACAGTGTAGGACAAGCAGCTTCACGGCTGTTGCTGAACTCGCTTTTGAAATGCCTGTGTGTTTTCTTGCTTTCCCCCTCTCCCTGCAGCCTGTGGAGAGACTCTGCAGGACAGTCAAGGCAACTTCTCCTCACCTGACTTTCCCAATGGGTATTCGGCACACAAGCACTGCATTTGGAGAATATCCGTCACGCCAGGGGAAAAGGTATTTGCTGGCCCAGTCCGCTGTGTGCCGCATCACTTGGCTTGTCTCACCTCTGTCCCCTCCAGTCTGCCTTTTTCTCTTCCCACCCAAATGTTTCTCTTCCTTTCCTTCCTAAGGCTTCTTCGCATCACCCTCTTTCCCATGAGAGATGTTGCCTTTCCGGGTTTATTTCTTTATTTATTAAATTCATACCCTGCCTTTTTGCTTGCAAGAAACGCAAAGCAGCTTGTATAATTCTCCTCCTCCTGCTCTCAGTCTTATCCCCACAACAACAGCCCTGTGAGGCAGGCTGGGCTGAGAGTCTGACTGGCCCAAAGGCACCCAGTTGGCTCCATGGCTGAGCAGAGACTAGAACCCAGATCCCCCGAGTCTCACGTTTTAACCACTACGCCTTGCTGGGTTCTGTGAAAAAGGCCATCCCAGACCTGTTACATGGTCGGGGCTTCTTATCCCTTGACTATAGAACCTAGCAAAGCAAGACCATCTGGGAAGTGATGTGCTCACCCAGCTTTACTTGGAGGGTTATGCCCTGAGGCTTGTTTCCCTCTTCTGCGTTTCCTTCTTTTCCAATATCTCCTCCTTCCTTGACACTTTTGATAGGAAATTTCCCTACCCCATTTTGAAAACACCGGTAGGGAAACGGCTGCAGGCACTTTGCAGTGCTGACATGTCCGAATGTTGTAATAGTGGGACACAAAGTTCTCAGATGAAAGGCCCCTGGCTGGGGTCACAGTCCGTACCTCTGTGCTCAGGCCACGCTCCAGTCCCACCTCCTTTCCCCAATCACTGATCGCTTGCTGGTTTCGCAGCTTCTGTGCGGTCCCCACTCTCCTCTCCCTTCTGAAACGCCTCTGCTAAAGTCTAGTTTGTGGCAATGAAAGCTTCAAGGAACAATCCTGTACATGTTTAGGCAGCAAAAAGGTTCCCTTACTGGGAACTGTGGACCTTTTTTCTATCCAAACATGCGCAGGCTTACCCTGGCACTAAAATAAGCTGGTAATGTTGGTCCTGTGCCTTTTGCCCTTCAGTTCTGCCCGCTATTGGAATGTGGCCCCCGCAAGCCTCTCCGAAAAGGAATTTGGCCCTTGGGCTGAAAGGGGGTCAGCATCCCTGCTCTCTGGAGAGAGTCCCACATTTGCAAGCTCACGTGACTCCTACCTGTGTGCTTTGCACAACCCTGAATCTTGCATTTTCAAGACTCAAGCAGAGAAACAGTCAGCTACTCGCCCTGTTATCTGTCAGACTCGCAGTATTTCCTGTTGTTCGTTCTGCTGCATCCCGTGCCTCTGTTTTGCACTGCAGGCTTATCTTTGTCCCTAACAGTTTGGAACAGGCAGTGCTCCTTCTGGAAGAGGGTCCAAGTCTGCCTGTCAGACTCATTCTGAGCTGGACTTTGGCACAGAGATTTGGGACCATTTCTGGGTGGATGAGCCAAAGTGACTGGTGGCTTGGAACAGCTGGCTCAGGAATGCCGGCGCTTCCAAGGACGGAAGAGCACAAGCAGTCCTAGCAGTGCAGGAGCTGAATTTGGCCTGAGATGTTTTTCGCCGGGAGCATCTGGGATTATTCATCAGGGGCCTCCCGGGATCTGACTGCATCTCAAAAGTGCCAACCCAAATTGACAGAAAGACAGAGCTGAGCAAGAGTAGAGGACATGCACCTTTCAGGCCCTTTGCTGACATTCGGACCACTCTCTGTTTCAGGGTAGAAGTGAATTGCTGCCATGGGTACAGTCCGATGGGGCTGCTTCCCTTCCGCAGGCAGTGGGTCCCGCCAATTCTGCTGCAGCCAGTGGGACCCACTGCTTATGACAGGCCGGCCAGGGCTGGAAGCAAGCATTTCCGCTCGATTCGGGTTGCCCCAGAAGCACTAAATTGCCACGGGAGTTCTGATGGGACCCACGTGCGCGGTAGATTGGCAGGGCGTGGGCGACCCATGGGATCCAGCCAGCCTAGTTCAGGTTTACCTGCTCAGGTGCCTTGAATGGGTAGGCAAAAACCAGGCAACCATCAGGAGAGACTCTCAGGGGGTACCCTCACGTCTGAGATGAGCAAACTCTCAGGCCGGAGCTGGACAGGGCCTGGTGCGTTACGGACTGGCCGAATTGGCAGGCTCGATGCTCCGGTGGGCTAGAACAGAAGCTCACGGCTGCCCTCAGCAGGCTGAGCTCAGCCTTCCAGGCTCACTCTGCCCGCACAGGCATTACTGGGAACGCCGGTCGGCAATTTTCAAAATGCTCCAGCGTGCTAGCAAGGGAAAGCGACCTTCCTGTTTTGTAAATGGGTGTGGGTTCAGCAAGGGTTAAAATGCCATACCCTTCGCAGTTCTGGATGGGTTTTTCATCCAGGAGTGTCCACCCCGGCTGCCAGCTCTCCTGTTCCAAACAGAGCTGCCAATGTTTTGAAAGAGGAGATGTGACACCATGAGGCATCCTAAACAAAAGCTCCAAACAGATTCAAGCTCCAAACCTTCATGAATTATCTGCCTTTTGCCTCCTTGAACTACAGATTTTCAAAGCAAAACAAGACGTCACAAGAGGTAGCCCTGGGCATTCAGGTTATATTTCTGCTGCATCTACAGTAATTAAACATAATGTCCATTTTATGTCTAATTTTGCCTTTCAGGCCAGTTTGTTTAGTGTGCTTTCCAAAGGAAGGGAAAGCAAGCAAAAGAATGAGGGATACTCGTTCTATAGTTATGCACATATACTTTCACTATTTCAACTTGGACATATATAGGTTCTTTATAGTTGGTCAGTTTACATATTCCAGTAAGTGATAAATGGTGTCCAGCTTTCTGGGAAAGTCTGGATGAAGTTCGTTTCTCCTTCCCTTAGCAATTTATAACTTATTTTATACTTTGCCATGGCAGTCTAAATCCTATTTTTCCATTGTATCAGAGACTGTACCATTGCCAAGCTTTTGCTAAGAGGGCCGTTACCATATTAACATATAGCTCACCACCCCCTCTCAGTCACTAGGGATCTGGTTTTTAGCAACACCCAGGAGTATAGCTGCTGGTGTTAATTGCAACTTCTAGTCTGTAATTTCTCTGATGTGGTTTATTATCTTCTTCTAATGTTCTTTGCCATATGGTTTATATATGCCGTAAAGTCTCTACATGTGTTTCTTTAAAGGACCCTGGCTCCTAAGGCTGCCCCTCTTTGGAAGAAGGGATGTATGGGCAGGAAAACACGTCAGGGAGAAGGATTTGGGAGGGGGACAGCAGGAGGTGAAGCACAGGTGGGCCAAAAGGGACCTTGTCCAGGTGGGTCTGATGTAATGGAGACCACCAGGACCCCTGAGCTTTTACTTCAGCATCTGCCCCAGACTGCAGGGCAGTGGGGCAGAGGGTTTTCCAAAGAGATAGTGCTCCAAAGGAGAAATTCAGGGCTCCAGCCCTCTGGAATGGCCCCTAACACGGCCTCCGATAGCAACGCTTAGGCCAGCTATGCGCATTCTCAGGTAATTACCCTCAAATCAGTGGAGAGCACATGAACTGGAGGAATGCATGGAGCATCTTGTTCAGTCTCTGCTTTCTTACCTCCCGGTGCGACTTCTACTTGCTTCCCAGATCATTCTGAACTTTACATCCCTGGATCTGTATCGAAGCCGGCTCTGCTGGTATGACTACGTGGAGGTGAGAGACGGGTTCTGGAGGAAGGCCGCCCTGCGAGGTAACCAATGGGAATGTCTCAGTGGCCAAGCTGGGCATGTGGCTTGATTCCAAGAGGCACATCTTTTAATATTGGAGGAAACTCTTTAAGTTTTTTTTTTTTTTTTTGTAAGCCATCCAGAGACTTTAGTATTGGACCGTATATAAACACCTTAAAATAATGAATGAATGAATGAATGAATGAATGAATGAATGAATGAATGAGTTCATCTATGAAGCCACCCATGAAGCACCAGCTAACTCATCCTCTGTTTGTGGGGCAAGATTAAAATTTATTTGGTTAAGTATTTCACCTTTTCAGGAGCTTAGGGAAAAGCTTTGGGGCAGCGACACAGTCAGGTATAACAACTTCTTCCTCTGTTTGAAGTTCAGGGATAAATATTGCAAATTCCACTCTGGCCAAAAGATTCCCAACACTCATTCTTCCTCCACGTACTACAATACATGTGCATCATTTGTTATTTCACCTGTGATGGCAAATTATGCTTCCTTTATCCTTCCTTTATATTAATACCTCTTTCCTCACTGCCCATTTCTGAGGATCTATCAGTTATACATTAAATAGGAATAAAATGCATTGCATTCTCTTACTTTTACAGACTGTGTTGTAGCTTTGTTTGTTTGTCTAGTTAAAGCCCTTGAGTTAAAGCGAAGGCAGGAAGCTTTTAAGCAGTGGAGAAACGAATGAGTCTTGCTCTGGTTTGTGATGGATGCGCATCAACATATCCATCCTCAGTGCAGCCCTGAGATAATGTGGCTGCAACTCATCACTGACCAGAAAACTGCATCTTGATCTAAAAGACTTCATTTGATATAGAATCTTCCCCTACCCTGGGCCTTCTGCCCAGAGAAAAAGAACTGTTTTTCTTTTTTCTTTTAAATTTACTTGATGTGCATGTTGTGGTTTTTAGAAACCAAGCGCTTCAAAGGCAGGGTGCACTCCAGCGGAGCGAAACTCAGGGAACCCAGGTTCAATTTGGATGCCAGGAAGCACTTCCTGACATTTCGGACCCCGAGGGTATGGAATGGGCTTCCATGGGAGCTGGTTGAGGCCCCATCGGTGTGGGAGTTCAAGGACAGGCCGGACATGCACATGGTGGACATGTCGTGAGCAGAGCCAGCTGGAGCTGGGGTTCAGACTAGATGGCCCCAGAGACCCCTTCTGACTCGCTCTGTTTCTGTGTTTTTATGATGCTTCTGCAGACAGATGCATGAGATGTTTGGAATATACTTTCTTTTTCTCTGTTTACTCTGCATGGCTTTTTCAGCCCTCAGATCTTTTCTTGCATGGTTTCATATTCTGAGCTCACAACAAATTGAACAAATCAAGTTACACACGCGCGCGCTTGTGTACAAGGCTTCTGGCTTTTTCTGCTCCCAGGATTCCACTTTTCAAAAAATTTCAGGCTTTTGGCAGTGAGAAAGGAATAGAGATTAAGGTTAGATACCCATCAGACCTTCGGATGTGAGTATATCAGAAAGGAATGGCATAGCAGAGTTTTCATGCAATGGGCGTGTGAACAGCATACACAAAAAGGCATTTGGTTTTTCTCCAGGTAGGTTCTGTGGGAACAAACTTCCAGAGCCCATCCATTCCACGGACAGTCGCCTCTGGATCGAATTCCGCAGCAGCAGCAATTGGGTCGGCAAAGGGTTCTTTGCGGTCTATGAAGGTACTGCTTTCTTACTCCATCTGGGCGTAGTTACAGTGCCCCCAGACGGAGAGTGCAGGGCAGGCTATGCTCCAAATTAATTCAAGGAGGGGATAGATAGCCGGTCAGACCACACAGATGTGCTTATGCAAGGAAGGAAGGAAGGAAGGAAGGAAGGAAGGAAGGAAGGAAGGAAGGAAATGGTAAATGGCAAAGCTTCACGCAGCAACAAAGGTTCAAGCAGCCTGCACAACTCCCTGGCCCTGCAGACCTCCCCAGCTTGACCACCCCAGCACTTAAAAGACTCACTTTGCAACTCTTCTGCCCTTCCCTCCCTGGCAGATGTTTGGTGATAGGGGAAAAGGTGGAAACAGTGGGGGAAATGGGAGGGATGGCCAGTGGAAAATGTTGCCTGGACTTCCCATAAAATTCCAGGGATGAGGCATGGTGATAGCACTATGTTGAGAGGTGGGAAGGGTTTCAGTATAAGGATCAGGGCTGGATAAATTGCTGGAAACAAGAAGAAAGAAGATGCTTTCGGCCCTGCCCGTCACTGCAACATGCCCCTCAAAGCTTCTCTGAAATCAGGCTGAGAAAGGTTCATTTTGTCATAGACCCTGTGGAGTGGGCCTGGAGTAGCTCAAAGTCGCCTTACCCCGTTCCATGAGGAAGAAACCTCCATGTCAGAATCAATTGCAGGTCTCCACTAAAGGTCACGTCAGCTGGGTGCTGGCACTGAGATGCAAACAACCTGGCCAAGGTCACCGCCACTTAGCCCTTCCAGTTAGTTCTCCAAGAGATCCCAAGCTGCTTGAGTGGTGGATTGCCACCAGGCCCAGAGAATGCGGAATCCACAAGATTCCATCTCGGAGCCTGTTGCTGGATACCCAGAAGACTTTCATAGCAAGAGAGTCTTCTGAATCTCCACCCAGGCAGGAGCGGGGACCGAAATAGATAGATTCCACTGGGACAGGAAGCTCGGGGGCCTTTCTTTAGAACCAGTGCTAGACTGCAAATCCCCCAGAAGGAGAGGGAAGGCCTGACGCAGGCACTAGAGGAATTGCACCATGGAAAATGCAGGTTTTCAGAGGACCAGGTGGGCAGCCCAGCGCAGGGCTGTGAATAGCTGGGCTGTGTCCTTCTGATAATGTTGCCTTTTGCCACTGAGCTGCCCCTTTAAACCACTTAACTTGTGTTGTGAAACTGACCGTTTTGTTCTTTTTGCCTGGATCGCTCGTACATACTTGATCCTGTTTTCACCAAAACTCAGGCCGAGCGTTTCTGGGGTGAACGGAGAGAGGCTCCCAAGGGGGGGTGCCACATCACGGGTCGTGTTAAGTGTGCATTTAGCAGCCAGATGAGCCTCTCCTGACTTAGATGACAAGAAACCTCTCCCTCTTTGCAGCCCTCCTCCTTTCTGGACACATCCCCGCCCAACTTCGAGGGAGCAGCCAGATTTCCAGCTGGGTTGCATCTCTCACCCTGTTTCGTTCTTCTTCCAGCCATCTGTGGAGGAGAGGTGAAGAAGGATAACGGGCACATCCAGTCTCCCAACTACCCCGATGACTACCGGCCCAATAAGCTGTGCATCTGGAAGGTTACTGTCTCGGAGGGATACCACGTGGGACTTTCTTTCCTTTCCTTTGAGGTACCAATGGCGTTTTCTCCAGGAAGAAGGATTTCAGCTCCTTTCCAGTGGTCCAGCAATGTGATATCGAAAAAGATACCGAAATGCAAAACGTTGCATTTAATGCTCGCATTTTTTAAAAAAGGCATAAAGCAGCCACTGGGGGTGGGGGTCATCAGGTCTGCAGCAGCAGGGAGCGCGAGTCTCTCCCTTTCTTCCCCAGCTGCAGCCCAGGGAAGGTCGCTTATCTGCAGCCCTGCGTGATGGACTCCTCGCTGGCCATCGCAACTTACCTTTCAGTCTGAGACTCGCTTGATCTCGCTCTGCTCTCGGCCCTTCTCAGGGCACCAGTTAAATAATTGCTTGCTTCCTTCTGCATTTGAAAGCCATGTGTGTCAAGTCAGCAGATGGGGAGCTAGGAAACCCCGTTATTATTCCTGACACATGCCCTGACTACTCATAAACTGGAGGCTGTTCCAAGCTGCTCTGAAAGTACATTATTTTCTGAGTGGGTGCAAAAAGTTCACAGCACTGTCTTCTTGGACCTGTTCTTCTCAAAATTGCAAGGTTGGTATGTTTTCCTTTTCTTCTCCATTTTTTGGAAAAGCCTTGTTCATAGAAAGCTAGCATGTCAGGGAGAAGGCTAAGCTGGGATCCCCTAGACATGCTGGCTTTCCACCAACAAGGAGTTTTTGAGGTAAGGAAGCACTGAGTGCAGTGTTTCCTTAACTGTGCTCTGAGGTGGTGATGCTGAGGTTTTGCCATCTAAGTCTGGCACGTCCAGCTCCCGAGAATTTCCTTGCACCTCCAAGAGCCATCTATGCAACACTATCCCAGGAAAAAGATGCACAGAGTGGAAATCTTTCTGCAGTGCAATGCGATAAAGTACATGTACCACCCCTAAAGAATGGACATAGCAATCTCAGTATTCTAGCCCAACTTTTACTGTCATTATCTCATGCCAGCGGCATGGCAAGTAACGCAGGCCATTCCCTGGGGGCTTTCAGGCTGCATTTGGTAGTCAAGACAGAATTGGAGAAGACGGGGAGATGCTAGGATTTTGCTGAAGAACTGGGGGGAAAGTGGTGATGGTGAAAGAGAAGCAAAGTCAGATGAGGTCTGGACTTTTGAGCACTCTTGGAAGGACTGCCACTTGCTAAAAATTCAAACTATCGCTGCCAGGTTTGGCAGTGCTTTTGGATTGTGTATGTGTTGTTGTTGTTGTTAGTTGCGAAGTCGTGTCTGGCCCATTGCAACCCCATGGACAACACTCCTCCACGCCCTCCTGTCCTCCACCACCCCCCGGAGTCCACTTAGGCTCACACCGACTGCTTCAGTGGCTCCATCCAGCCACCTCATCCACTGCCGTCCCCTCCTTCTTTTGCCATCGATGTGTACGTGTACGTGCACAATCACACTGGTAGGGGCCTCCAAAATTTAGCAAATGGCTGCGACTGTCCTCCAAAAGGCATGTCCTAGTTTGGCTCTGACCACTCAGTATTGCATGCATTTATTTACTTATGGTATTTATGAGTCATGCCATAATCAATGTAGGCGGAATAACTTAAAAGCAATGACAACAATAAAAATATACTCACAATAAAAGAATATACCTCCTAGAGACAGAACAGTAAAATCAGAATAAATCATTTTAAACAGAAGCCCCAGCGGATCTCTAAAAAGCCTAGATTTATTTACATTTTTAACTCCGCGGGTGCTGCAAAGACTTCAGAGTAGCTTGGAGGAAAGTGTCTCTGGAATGGGTGTATCCTGCGCATGAGTGGAAGATAACCCAGAGACCATGAGTGCCTGCTAGCCACTCTTGTGGCCCCCACAGTTGCACCAGTCTTTCTGCCTCTACTCTGCCAACAACAGCTGGAGTGGCTGCCACCCGTTGCACAGCGGTAAATCGGGCAGATTTGGCTTGTCCTCCAGTGGGATCTGACCTAGTGACCACCTCCGGTTCCCCACAGATTGAGCGGCACGACAGCTGCGCTTATGACTACCTGGAGATCCGAGACGGTAACACCGAGTCTGGAAATCTGATCGGAAGGTACTGCGGTTATGATAAACCCGACGACATTAAGAGCACCTCCAACAAGCTGTGGATGAAGTTTGTGTCAGACGGGTCCATCAACAAGGCTGGCTTTGCTGTCAACTTCTTCAAAGGTACCGCGTTTCTCTGGTTAGTTCCCGCACAGGGCCTGAACAGCAGCAAGTTTCTGTGCTGTGGGAAGCACATGCTCTCTTGGGATAAGTATCTGCACTTATCCAGCTCCAGGAGAGGACAAGATGGTTGTGCACTGCTGTTATCCTGCTCTCAGATTCGATCCAGCGGACCGGCATTTCCAACTTGTGCTCGGAGACAGAAGATCTGGCTTTTAAACAAGGCATTCCCAAGGAATGCAGGCCCCTTGCAATGGCTGTATTGTTGGGTAAATTATCCAGATGGGTTTTTTCCTCTTTCAGCCACTGGGAGGCAGATTTCACCAGGGAAACGTACCTGTATTTTTGCCGGGCAGAGGGACAGTTCCTTTTCTCCCTCACAGGTGACTTCTTATCCTGCATAATTTACTACATGGTCACACAGGTATTCTTTTTCTTCCATGCTGGATAGGGAACTTTGTTTCTCTACCTGTCTGGCCTGCCTCTGTGACTCGCAGGGCATGTGGGTGGAAGCAGGAGCAGAGTAGAAACCGCAGGTGCAGCTTAGCAGTGGACCAGAACTGGACAAAGGCCATGTTGTGTCATATGGGTTCTGCCAGAAGAATGGAGAAGAGGTTGTTGAGGTTCAACAGGTAGTGACCTTTCCCTGAGTCCAAAAGCCAAGTTCCTTGAAGCCATGCCAAGGCTATATGCTTTCAGCTTGTTAAGAGCACCAGAGATGATTGCCTTTCCCAATCTTTCTGTAGAGAAGGGCTGCTTTTGCTATGAGAACAAAAACTGTTTCCCTTGCTGGAGCAACTTTCAGGAAGCAGGGTTGAGAGCCTGTCTGGATCCCGACAGACTCTGCAGTAGTGGGAGAAAAGAAACTTTATAAAATCCACAGTGAGACGCATAATCCTTCATTCTTGGTCTGGAAAGAACACTTGACACTTTGCTCACCTAGACCTCTGTGGAGACCCACAAAGCATCCCCTGGTCCGTGTGGAGAACTCATAGGCCTCAGAGAAAGAAACTGTAAGCTTTCTCTAGTTCGTTTACATTCTGCCTCCCTATTTCATTCAGTAGACAGCACATCATCTGTGACACAAGTGGTTTCGTTTTTTCCTAAGTATCCATAAATCCGAAGTAAGCAACCTTGGCTAATCCAAGCTGCTAAGCTGAAAACATCTATACCCAAACAACATACTGAAATTTCCTTCCTTTTCTCACCCTAGAAGTGGATGAGTGCTCCAGACCAAACAATGGTGGCTGCGAGCAGCGTTGTGTGAACACGCTTGGCAGCTACAAGTGTGCCTGTGACCCCGGTTATGAACTGGCTTCCGACAAGCGCAGGTGTGAGGGTGAGTACATGGGAAGCGGGGCGTTCACCCGGGAAGGGGCTCCTTTTGCTTACTGGAGCTGAGCTGGTGGGACAGCACGGATTCTCTGCTAGAATATGTGTCCCACTCTGGTCCTGCACAGTAAACGCCCTGCGGCTTTCCCAGTGCAGTAACAGCTGGATACAAGCCAAGACTGACAAGCTTTCTAGAAAGGCTCAGGGGGCCCGCAGGCCACATGTGCCCAGGATGGCTATGAATACGGCCCAACACAAAGACAGAAACATTATGAGATTTGAGGGGGGGGGTAATTCGATTGTGCACTTCACAAGCATGAACTTTATAAACGGCAATGTCGTGTTGTAATGTCGCGTAAAATAAATATTCGTACGCTCTTGCTTTCTGTACACATTCATGGCTTCAGTTTTATGGTGGTGTGTGGCTTCCAGTATGTTATCTTCCAAGCTCAGATAGTCAAATTGATACCATCAGGCGTTACGTGTGCTTATGGTGACTTAGTGAGGGAAACGCAGATATGATCAATCATATTTCAACCTATCACTGCAAACATTTTTATGCATTTTGACATGTTGGCTAAATACAGTCCTGTGGACAGCAAAGAATATGCAGCCTTGCTTTTCAATCTGATACAAGAATTTGAAACCAGATTTCAAGATTTCCGGGAAAATAAGCACTATTTTGGTATACTTGCAACTCCATTTACAGGCGACATAAATATGTTACCTGCCAATTTTCAATGGAATGCATAGAGCTGCAATCTGACATTCAAAAAATTTGAATCATGGGCTTTTATAGGTTCTGTCTTCCCAGAGACTAATGTCCCTTGCTTCACAATCATGCCTTATTCATGTCTTCGCTTTTTGGCAGCACCTACATTTGTGAGCAGCTAAGAGTAAAATTAGAACCAAAATATCTGATGAGCACCTTGAGAACTCAGTGAGAATTTCAATTGCTTCCAGCGAACCAATTATTGGTGCCTTTGTTTCGCAAATACAATGTCAAATATCCCATTAGTTTTATGTTCCCCTCTTTTCTGCATGATGACTTTAAAAGACTCTCTGAACGGGGTGCCACATAATTAGGATTATTATGTGAGGAGTTTTTTTGCTTATCTGTGCTTATCAGAGATCACAAAAATTATGCACAGGCCCATATATATATATTGCTCTTCAGCTTTCATTAGCATTTGTGTATTTAAGCAGCTCAAGGCTATTTTTCTTCTTCCAATGTGTCCCAGAGAAGCCAAAAAGTTGGACACTCCTGGCCTAAGTCCACTATCCTATGCACGTTTAGACAGACAAAAGCTATCGCTGGACAGCACTGGGAGCTCTGGGACATCTTCCTGTCCAGAAGTGCTTAGGATCGCACATAAAGGAACATGGTTTTCCGGCATGGAGTGGCAAGTCCACTTCTGGAAAGTTCTCGCTACCAGCAGTTTCTCATTAACAGGTTTTTTTACTAACAACAAGGCCTCAGGTATGCAGAAGGCGGGCCTTAAAGCATTCTGTGCCCAAGCCAGTCAGACTGTACAGGTGTCCACACCTGCCGCGTGGCAGAACAGAGTCGCATAGCAATGCCCATCCCACCACAGTTCAGGTCCGGACATCGCCCGGGACCAACCACCTGGTGTTTCTGTCCTGCAGCTGCCTGCGGAGGCTTCCTCACCAAACTCAATGGCTCCATCACAAGCCCTGGGTGGCCGAAGGAATATCCGCCCAACAAGAACTGCATCTGGCAACTAGTGGCCCCCACGCAGTACCGAATATCCCTCCAGTTTGACTTCTTTGAGACAGAGGGCAACGATGTGAGTAGAGCTGCCTTTGCTAACCCTGCCACATCCTCTCTTTAGTCAGGTGTACTTTCACCTGCTGTGCATTGCCGGGGAGTCGATTGCAGAGAGTCTCTGTGAAGTTTATATAACCTTTCTGGGATCATTCCACATCAGAGATGGGGCTAAGAGAGTGTCCTAAGGGAGCTGGAGCCCTGAATCTTTCCTTTGGAGTCCCAAATCTCTGGGAGGCCCTTGCTGAGGTAAAGTTACGGGCCCCTCTGAGAATCTCCGCTGCATCTAATTCTCCTGAATGAGCTGGCTTGCTGCCCAAATAAGCTCCCCTCTCCTTGACTACTCCTGCTTGGCTTTCTTTGAGAAACCAAACGCCCTCCTTTCTCCTCTCCATCCATCCCTGTTCACATATAAGGTTGTCCATAGGAGACAGGGACTTTCAAAGACACACACACAGGGACTTACGATCATATGTAAATTAGCCAAGTGTGTGCATTGATTTCATTTTGTTTGGTGGGACTAATTCACACCGACCCACTCCATATTCATGGGGCACCGAGGAAAAAGGTCTGATCCATGCCGCATATCTCCATAACAGCTATACCGAGGTTGTTGCTATGTCAGTGATCATTATTACAGGAGGAATAATTAAGAGTGAGTGAAGAAGTATCTGTTGGAGTTCTGTTGGAGAGGATGGAAGAATAAAATTGAGTGTGTGATGGGAAATGTGGATAGAGAGGAGTGTTTCTCTCTTTCTTGTGATAACAGAGTTCACCCAAGGAAACTGCACTGAAATAAATGCAGAGCATCGTTAATCTTGGAATTCACTGTCCTGAACTGTGGTTTTGGCCACAGGCTTGTGCAGCCTTTGAAGTGGATTAGATAGCTAAGTAGAACCTCCATGTTCACAGACAGTGTATCCCAGGATCTCAACATCCATCTAACATAATCCCTTCATTAGGACCACCTCAAAAGTCACAAATAGGGCCCTCCTTTCAAGAAAAGAAGGAAGGCATCTGAAAGGTCCTACGTTTTCCATGAGCTTTGATGTGGCCTAGAAAGGTATCACACTAAATGGATTTTGGAATTTCTCTTACCTTTGCTCTTGGGATCTCTGCCTCTTTATGGCACTTCCAGGAGCATCTGGCCAGCAGTGGAGGAGCACAGAAGCTGACCTGTCTGGCCCAGCATGGCTGTCTTGGAGCCAGATTAAGGAAATCTTGTTGGGTTATTTTGTCCTGTATCGGTATTGATACCAACAAATACCTTCTCCCAACTTAAGTGATATAAGAATACTTCTGTGTCAAGTCCACCAGACCATCATTAGTCTAATGAGCATTAGTCGCATTAATGTGTGTGCATGCACACGTGTGTGTAAGTGCTGTGCGTAGTATGGGAGACCCTCACCCAGTGCACACCTGTCTCTCTGTTCTGGCTGTCTCTGCCCACCTCCCTGCCCTCCCTGCTCCTCTGGGCTGTAGCGAATGACCTCCGCCTGCCTTCCTCCCCACAGGTCTGCAAGTACGACTTTGTAGAAGTGCGCAGTGGCCTCAGTGCTGAATCGAAGCTACACGGCAAGTTTTGCGGGGCAGAAAAGCCCGATGTCATCACCTCCCAGTACAACAACATGCGCATCGAGTTCAAGTCCGACAACACTGTCTCCAAGAAGGGCTTCAAAGCCAATTTCTTCTCAGGTAGAACCACTTGGCACATCAAAGGCATGGATCTCATCCCCTCCCCTCTCTGTCTCTCTCTCTCTCTCTCTCTCTCTCTCTCTCTCTGCAGCTTCCCCTTCCTCCAGCCACTAACCCCTTTCATATCCTTACTGGTGCTTAGAGAGTGCAATCCCAAGAGGAGGTGGTGTGTTTTTGGAAAGAGAACTCTGGCTGCCACAGTCCTGGAGAGCTGGACATCCGGAAGAATGAGGTGGTGCAACCCAGCTTTCCTTAGTCTGGTCAGATAGACTCCACTGAACAACAGAGGCTCAATGCTTCCAGAATCACAAAAGAGTTTCTGTTCTCAGAAATTGTATTTCAGAGCATCAGATGTTCTGTATATACAGTGCCTGAGGTGAGATCCCACAGGCTTATCCCAACAAAGATGAGCCTGGCCTAAACATCCTGCTTCCTTTGTTTGTCCACTGCTGGGCACTGAATATTCATGGCCAAATTTAACCTGGTGGTAGCTAGTAGTATTTGTTTGGGCATACGTTTCCAAAAGAAAAAAAAACAGCAGTACTCTGGCAGTCAGAATGCTGCCCCTGTGGTGATTAAAACTAGTCTCCTGCTTGCCTAAGTTAGTGCAGTCAGCTAGTGCTCGTCTAAGCCCTCTTTGCTTCATATTAGAATCTGCCCCATGCGTTACGCGACTGCTTTTGGTTGCTAGTGGATACCTCCTCTGTTCAGTATTTGCTGTAGTCTCCACTGCACTTTACAATGCAGCAGGACATGGGCCTTTCCTAACCTGGGCCCTCCAGATTCATTGGACTACAATACCCATCACTCCTTGTCAGTGGCTGTGCTGGCCAGGAATGATGGAGCTGTAGTCCAGGGCAGACAGAGATTATGCGTTTAGGGGTGGCTGGATTACATAAACTTTCCTGGCAAGGGCAAATCTAGCAATATTAAAATTCCTTCCAGAAGGTCTCATCCTGTGCACATTGCCCCATGGGAGTCATTTAGTCAGGGAACCAGTGAGGGGCAGTGGTAAAAGTGCAAGTCTGGGACTTAGGAGATCCAGGTTCCAATCCTCACTCAGCCATAAAACTCACAGGGTGACTCTGAGCTCACCAGTGATACGGGGTCACCCACCTCACAGGGTTGTTGTGTGGATAAAGGGACAGGAGGTGGCTTGTGTAAGCTCCCCAGGTTCCTTGCAAGAGATAAAGAGGCAGGGGGTGGGTGCAATGCTTCGGAATAGTGCATTTCTACTCCTGTCAGCTGGTGGGGCTGCACTCTGAATCCAGAGGTCCCCAGTGCGAATTTCGCCCCTGCCTCTCGTGTAGGAAGCCACCTGGGGCAAGCACCCTCCCCCTTCTGGGCACTGCACCCCCTACCACTGTTCGTTGTCGTTCGTCTAACACCGAGCGGGGGCTTGAGCCCTGCAAGCATGCGGCTTCTCCTGTCTGAGCTGCGGTGTCCGCGAGCCCTGCACACTCTTGCTCTGCCCGCGTCTTCCTTCCCCAACACCCACGTTAAGCGACTGCACACCTGGCGGAGCACTGCGCCCCCTGCCTCTCCTGACTGTCTGCAAAGACAACACACTTTCACTCTGCTTGCACTCCCTTCTCCATCTCTGCACTTGCCACGAAGGGGAGAGCCCCGTTTGCTTCTGGATTGACTAGGCCTGGTTTTACGCTCCCCCTCAGATGGTTTGTGTCCATGCAGGAATGATCAGTGTGCTGAATGAGCCAGAGGAAGCCTTCCTCCGGCGAGGTATAAAGTCAAGGCCTCTAATCCGTTAGCCAGGCGGCTCCTCTCTTTGCTAGAGGTTGGGAAACCATTACCTGCTTATGTCGTCTTGCGTTCTGTGTTGCGTTGTGCCGTCTTCACAGCCTGCACGGCCCGGGGGCAAGGTTTAGCTAAACCTTTTCCAGAGCAAGCTGCTCCAGTGGGCACCGTGGAGAAAAACATCACTGGAGAATAAAAGCCTCTTGTGGGGTTTTTTGCTGCTAAATCTTCACTCTGGGAAGCCCCCTTTTCAAGGCTTGCTTATTTATTTATGAGCCCACGTTAAATCATGCGCTAAGTAGAGTGAATTTAAGCCCAGTTGTGCATCTGTTCTTTTTGATTCTGGTGGAAATGCAAACATATACAACTTGGAGTCCCACTGCAGAGTGTTTGTAACCCCTCTCCCCATGTCGTCCGTTATCCACCTTCCAGACGTGAAGGAGAATTTTACCGTGCATTGGGTCAAGACATGTGATAGAACGGCTGTTTTGTACTGACCTGCTGTAAAAGGGGAAGGGAAGCCAATGAACTGTTCCCCCAGAAAGCTGGCACTCCCTTTCTTTGCCTGACTGCTCCCTCCCCTTAGAAGGTGCACTCACGGCTTCCCAGGGGAGCCTGAGAATCTTTCCATGGGACCTTAGGAGAAGACGACTGCGAACGAACGCCCCATTTACACATCACGTCCACATAGATGGTGCTCTTGTGCCAATGGCTGGAGGACTTTCCTCCGGACCAGAAGCCCCTTGGAAAGTGGCCTGTTTGATTTGCTTCTTTTTAAATATAAGCAAGCCATGTAAAGTACCCAGGAGTCGCCTGACAATCAAGAGGCCAGGAGGCGACCCAGAATATCTCTCAGCTGACACCACTGCAGAGGCAGCCAGGTGAGTACCTTGTTCTCCTCCACTTTGTTCTAGCTTGGGGGGGACTCATCTGAGCAGAGGCATTATTTGACTGCGCAGGTCTGTCGGGGCTTCGAGACCAGGACCTGCTCTAGTTCCTCTTGATGAATGGATTTGCCTTCGTACTTTGTATTCTGCCTTGTCCCTAGTACACCTTGCGAACAAAGCGCACACGGATGTGGGAAGGGGTCTCTTTTGGAGTCACGCTCAGTTGATAAAGACAGATGCCAACTGAGTAGCGCTGAATTCTGAGCATGAACTTTGCTGCAAAGACAGCAAAGGGGATTACCAAGGCAGATATTTTATCCCATTAGGTTGTAGACTTGTCACAATGCCGTTATCTTGTCATCAGCAGGTTAGCATGCCTTTATGCATTTATTTATTATATTTATATACTGCCCCGTAGCCCATAGGGCTTGCTGGGCAGTTTACAAATAAAAACACAAATAACAGTACAGACAACACAAAACAGTAAAAACAGATTAAAGCAAATATAACAACGCCTGGTGATTATTTATTGATTTAAAACTTTTTAGGCCATCCCTTACCGTAGTTTCGGGACAGTTTAACAATAAGACAAAATAAAATAAAACACAGCATCCTGATTATGAAAATTAATACAAGGCATAAAAGCAGTTCACATGAAAATTAAATTCAAATTAATCTATCCGTTAAAGCATCGGGTGAATAAAAAGGTCTCCCCATGACCCTGGGAAGAAAGTAGACGGTGCCCAGCATGCCTCCTTGGGAAGCATGTGCCGGAGGTGGGGCGCCCCTCTCTGGATTGTCACCCCACTTCCTCCTTGGTTGTTGTTGATGTGATGCATTGGCCCTTTTGTATTGTGCTGTGAGAGCTCAGTGTTAATTGGGCTCATTATGCTCATTAGCTGGCTTACGGAAGTGGCCAGGGCCTCTTGTAAGGGCAGCCGAACTCTGTGGCCCCGTTTTCCTTGGGCTGCCTGGGGGTTGTGCATGTCCTCACTGGATGAGGCCTCCTTGCTGAATACAGACTTGGTTTGCAGGGCCTTTAGAGCTGAGCGACAGGACAGAGACAAGAAGAGCAATCAGCTAGAAAGAAGAAAGAAAGAAGAGCAATCTTTCTAGCAATCAGCTTCTTATGGCTTGATAAAGAGTTCTTTGTAACCCAAATGCCTGCATATTCCTAAATCAATCTGGATGGTTAGCGCTTGCCCTCCCAGTTGAATTTTGCCACATGGGCTACTGATCCTGTCACATGTGACCTGGAAACTCTGGTGGCAGCCCCATCCCTCAGTGGAGGTCTGGAGAGCTGGTAAATTAATGGCACATTTTGTCTAGAGCCCTACCTCCATGAGGACTAGCACGGTGCCTGTTGCGTTTGGCTTGAGACTGTGAGCCATTCATGAAAAGCAGCTGCATTATGTGGAGAGCTGCAGTGTCAGCCAAATCACTGCTCACCTCTTGTTTGTTCTCAAGAGGGTGAGAAAGGCAGAGCGAGGAGAGTGCTTTTTCATAAGTGGGGCTGTGTTAGCTGTCCATTATTGTTCAGGCAAAAGAGAAATTGAATGAGGAGCATTTGCAATTAGCTGTTTATTATTTATTTAGAATTTTTGTATGCCATCCCATCGCGTAGCCTCAGAACGGCTTATATAAATAAATAAACACAATACAAATAATACAAATAAAATCCAGATCCAGCCTGGCTGCAAATCAAAACCTATAGATGATGTTAAAAGTTATTAAAATATTGTTTCAATAAAAAGGTCTTAGCCTGGCGCTGAAAAACAAATAACGACGGCGCCAGGCGGACCTCTCTGGGGAGCGCATTCCATAGATTGGGCGCCACCGCTGAGAAAGCCCTCCTCTGGGTACTTTGCCTCCTAATGTCTTTCACGGAGGGCTCCCGGAGGAGGGCCTCTGCTGCCGATCTCGGGGGGCGGGAGGGCAAATATGGACGCAGGCGCTCCTTTAGGTATCCAGATCCCAAGCCGTTAAGGACTTTATAGGTGATAACCAACACTTTGAATTGAACCCGGACTTCAATAAGAAGCCAGTGAAGCTGGTAGAGGACTGGGGTTATATGAGAACAACGCCCAGTCCCCGTCAGCAACCTGGCAGCTCTATTTTGCACCAATTGAAGTATCCAGACTGTCTTCAAGGGCAGCCCCACGTAGAGCGTGTTACAGAAGTCTAATCAGGAAGTTACCAATGCATGTGTCACAGTCGCCAGGTAGTCGTTCTCCAGGTAGGGACACAGCTGATATATTAGCCGAAGCTGAAGGAAGGCGTTTCTCGCCACTGCTGCTTCTTGAGCTTCTAATGACAGCTCTGGGTCAAGGAGCACTCCCAAGCTGCGAACCTTGTCCC